AAATTATAGTTGCTGATGTCCGGTCCCGGACCGCTCGGACTCGGTCCGGATGCAGGACTGGACTGATGGACCGGTCCTCTACAGTCCGGTCCTCATGGGTCCAGGAGAGGTCCGGTCCTGGGTCCATCATTTTGAGAAATTTCCCGGACCAATGGACTCGTCCGGACCCGGACTGGACTCTGGACCTGAATAACCTGAACTAATGTCTCAAATCTCATTTCCCATATCTCTAGCTCACTATACTAAAACAGATCATACTCCTTTAAGGATCTTTGAATATTAGCTAGCACTTGCATAGTACATTTTACAAGTTTCTAGCAGTCCAAGCAAAGCAAAACTTTATTCCTGTTCTTTACTGTTCAATGTATGGCTTACTAAACTTGACTCTTCCTATCTGGTTATTGTCTCCCGAAATATTTATTCCCTTTATGTATATTCACTCCTCTCCCGTCCTATGCCAAAGACGCTGCAGTCCCAGCCGCCCAGTCAAGCAGCCAGCCAATGCCCCTGCCCCTGACAAATTAGACAAGATGTCTGAAATCACTCTCAGAAAGAAGAAGAACGCTGACGCTCAGGCTGCTTTCCGTGCACGCCGTGCCAACTATATTGCCACCCTCGAAGAGACAGGTCCGTCTGCTGCTAAGTACCTAAATATTCATGTTCCGACAACTAAGTGTCTGTAAATCACAGTAACCAGCTTAGAGGCAGTTGTAGTCCAGCTTCAGGACTCGTGTCGCAAGGCTCGCGCCGAAGCCTCAGAATTGCGTCAGGAAAACCACTACAGTGTCTAGTCTGTAGATTATGTAGTATATACAAAAATATATTACTTTTGTACTTAGATACAAAGAATAATACTCTAACTCATCTCTTAAATTTTTTTTCTCTCAGGTCCGGTTATGGACCGGTCCAGAACCGGACTGGAACTTGGGTCCGGTCCACTACCCGTCCACATAGGTCCGGTCCCCAGTCCGGGACACTCCCGGACCGCAGATTTGGTCCGGTCCTGAGTCCAGGTGAAGTATGCCCGGACCGGACCAGGACCGGACTTCAGCAACTATAGTTTAAATGAATGAATTCTCAGTGGTTATTATTCTGTTATACCTTTCCCTGTTATTCTCCTTCAGTCTTGCATACTCCACAAAAGTAGCCAAGCTAGGCATTTGTGGCGGGAGTAATGCAATTTGCGCTCGTGAGTCGTGAGTCGTGACGAGGTTTGAAACACAGTGAAGACTATTACATAATTTGTTCACCCAAGTCGCACGATGTCGTTCTGTCGTGCCGAAGCAGGTGGGTGACCATTGCGTGTACCAGTCGAAGCGTCTCTCATGAACGGAAAAGACGAGCAATTATCATTCGACCACCTTTGGATGGCTCACTCGCAATTCTTGAGCTATACGACTGGCATTATGAGCATAACCGAGACTATTTTCTCTTCACTTTCGAGGATGAGCCAGGCACTATACGATCAGTTTCTACAGGAGAGGGAGTGTAGGGAGCGCATGGAGCGACCCCCTACATTCGCGAGCGTACAGGCCATATTCTGCTCGGAGAGGAGATCGTGAATCAACTTGTCATCGCCGTCCTCGCTACGTCAGGTACCATTTCCAACACTTATCTATTCAATGTACGTTAATCTGTCTTTGGATACCATCACATTTACCTGCACATATATAAGAGCCCTGCGGACCGGTGCAACAATATTCCCGATCTCAACTCGAAACAGTGCTCTGGCAATTGCAATTCTTTTGTCGAGGGCGAAACCCGTCGCAATCCTTGACTCCACGGAGCCTGCCTTGCAACAGCTCGCAGATGATCCTATCAAGACCAGCGAAAGCGTTGATCTGCGGAAGATTGACATGCTCACACCCAATGATTTCTTCCCTATTATAGGACCTGATCCACTGTTCAAGCCTATTCCATCGGCAAGCCTGAACATGGACTCGCGCGCTGTTATCTATCACTCTTCCGGTATGCTCTTTTGCCTCATACACGACAAACTTCTTTGTCCTTCTGCCTATAACGTCTTCCCAAGGTACGACTTCATTTCCAAAGCCTGTATACTGAACGCACAAAGCTTTGTATTGTGTTTCTATCCCGCCTCGTGAGTCTTTAACAGCGATCAATAGACTTTCGCACGTAGAACTGATCAACTAACGAAACGGCAGTTTCTGAGAAGTGGATGTCTCGAGCACCATTTTCGGTTGCCACTCCACTCCTCTGTTCCACGCTTTGGGTGCTCTTCTCATTGCGTTCCCTGTATGTTTGTCTGTTTCTTAACCTCAACATGTGCTCATATCAATAGGCTAGCATTGGAGTTTGTTTGGCTTTGTTTAAACCTCAGTCGCCCGCTATTGTTCCAAATTCAGTTAAGTTTTTCGATGCCGCACCAGCTGCAAAGACGGACTATTTATTCAGTCCCCCTTCGTTTGTAGAGGTACGTCAGGCAAGCCTGTTTGGTGTCAAATGTTAATTTATGCCACGGATAGATATGGTCCCTGGTCGATTACATTATTGATGAGCTATCGACGATGAAGGGCGGTGTACGATTTCAGGCTATTAGCCTACTTGTTACATGCCTTACCGTATTTTGACGGGTGTATGGTGGTGGACCACTATCTGGCCTCAAGAGGCGTCAATATTTGCCAAACACATGCTTCGTGAGTTCGTTTAAAGAACAAATGCGCGAAAGCTAATCTTATATTACCAGAACAGAGACGGCAGGAATAAGCGCAATTCTTCCTGGTACGATCCGACATAATGGTGTATCTTGACCCATGGCTTAGCTGGTTGCGCAATTTTAGAGCATCCTGTTGCAGTGAGGGTTTTTTTTCCTTCTTGGAATCCACAGCGGAAAACCTCGCTATGGGAACCTGACCAGTTTCCTCTCGTACCCTACTTTCTTCAACGCTTCATCACATCCTCCGTCTCCCTTCTCTCACGTCTGCACACTCTCGATCTCGTCCTTTCCGAGTTTCAAACCATTGTACAAATGCTACAGGCCAGGTCATTAACCAGCAGTAAACTGATTCACATGCAATCACTTACGGGAAACATACCCTCACCGCCCCGTGGGCCACACACCTCCGCTTTTGGATCCTCCCAGCGAATATTCTTCCCCAATGGCTCGTAGCTCAGACGGAGAACGTTGACCTTTGGGTCATTTCCAAAGAAAAATTTGAGTGAGTGTGTTTGGGACTTGTGGTGCAGTAGACGAGTAAACCGATATGGCTGACAGAAGGCCGTTCTTGGAGCTCGTCGGGAACGGGTGCAGTGTATGGAACGTGCTTGTAAATGTATGTGGCTTGTCGGACATGGCTCGAAAAGCAGTAGTTCATAGCTGAAAGATTCATAAGGTATATACTGAGATATTTTATTCCTTGTGAGTCAATGTGACTTCGTTCTTGTTCCACGTCGCGCATCCCGAAGTAAGGAATCCGTCATCAGAAGTTAAAGAACATACGTCTTTCATCAGTTTCCCTGTAATCTAGGTTCATTGGTGGCAGCTCATCAAACCTCTCTCTACCAACCGTTTATGCCTCAGATTCTCGAAGCGCTGTGTCTCTTGCTTGCCTTTGGGGTGCAATCTAACACAGCAGGAGCTCAAAGCGTGGTGGCACAAAGTTCCTCGCTATATAGAGGCGAATGCTACATCTTGTAGGCATCTCAAGCCCTTTACTGCGATGTCGGCTCACCTGGTAGAAATCGCCTTGTTTTGGGCTCTAAATGACTATCATGCAAATCTAGGGACTCGCACGGATGGCTGATCCATGGAAACCACACCACGGATGGAATTTTCCCATGGGTCCTGTACTACGGATGAAATTTGCACGGCTACCGTGGTATCTGTGCTATCCGTGATTTAATACAATTTGACTGTGTTACAAGTTACTTGTGATGTGCCATCTCTCACATGAGTTGTAAGCTTGTCTTGTCACATTTTTTGCTCACTTTGTATTTTTTTAAATATATATTTGTGTATATTTTCTACTTTGTGTAATGCTTTGTATTAGAGCACATACACTTAAATTTGTGCAATTTGTGTCAAGAGCAAATTGTGTAGTAAAAATTGGTACTTGGTAAGTACAGGACTTGAACAGTGGCAGTATCCACGGATGAACCATCATCCGTGGGAAAACCATGGGTGATACCTATTACCCAACCTAGTCCTATGCAAATTGACGTTCCCTATCTGGTACTGTCAATAGCACGGATACAAGGTAAGCAATTACTGCGGCTTATAGCTATCATTGGCTGTGAAAAGGCTGATGTCCAGAGACATCATCACTTAGGGGGTGACCGGCAACGCGATTTTGCACGATCCCACAAGATCACACCTTCTGAAAGTAACGTTATCGCTATTAGATCCTATCATGGCGCCCAAATTGAGGACCCTTCCCGCAGACGCGCAGTTTCTAGTGTGGTGTTTGAATCCATCATACTTCAAGAGACGGGGTCTGATTTGTCCGATTTGATTTGGGAACAAGTCTACGAGCGTGCGGATCTCAAACTTTGGCTTCACATTAAGAGCTCGACTCATCACTTGGGGATAAATCGAAGTAGACCATATCCAATTTCCTGTTGATCCGACCGCTACCTTAACCGCCCCAGTCTGTGAAGTCTTCTACTTCACGCTAAGAGAAGGAAGGACAAAGGACGAGATCGCACCTTACCTTGACACTCTTGCGAACCAGGATACGAAGACTGTGACGCTGTCAACTTGGGGGTTTAATCCGGAGCGGGAGAATCGACTTGCAATGCTTGTTGGATGGGAATCTCTTGAGTAAAGTGATGCCAATGTGTTCGAAAAGCCCGAACTAATGTTACTAGTACAGGCTCACCAAGAGGTGGTAAAGAATCCGACGGAGGAAACGAAGAACTTATTTTCACATCTTCATGAGCTATCGGAATTCACTGTTGGGCATAGCAACTTGACTGCCCACTGAATGGGACGTTGATTGTTTGAAGACGTACTTCACGTATTTACAAGATTTCTATACCAAGTAATTGAGCAGTTTGACGTTATATAGGTTTAGAATACCGAGATTCTACGGAATGTAGCGGGGAAGGAGATGTACTGCCTAACCAATAATCGCCAAAGCGGCTAAGCTCAGATTCTTTTAAGCCAGGGAACTGGTAGAGGCGACGAATCAACCAAAGGACAGTCCAGAATATTCGCGCTGAGTTGACTGCGGAGTGATCTGGCGCTTAGAGTTCATGACGGTGCATTTTACAATTCTTCCGAACTCACGTCCGAGGTGTCGACGGCGTTAAATTATCAATACTTTAACTGCGATCACAATCTCCCTCGACGAGAGGATCATGATATTCAAGCTACAGGATGACAATTACAACCTACAGGATGTAGAACTACTATAATCTATGTAACATAATGATAGTAAGACACTACTGAGACTAGGAATGGATACACTTTGTATGGAACAAAGTACAAAAGTTTAGAGGGCAACTTCAAGCTAGAGAACAGGTTCAGAACCTAGACAATCTGCTCAATCTGCTCAATCTGCTTAAATGGATTATCACACTGCTTCAAGGGAAAGTGAAGGTAATACACATACAGCTAGCAAATATCAGAGTAATAATGAATTAGTAATGATTGATCAGACTATTTAAGTATTCAGGCATAATACTTTAATGCTATAGAAGGAAACAGAGCATTAGGACACTCTAAAACATTTATTAAACAATGATACAGTTCAATCTACTCTAGGAATGAGTAGTTACAATTAGTTTGAAGTATGAAATCATACAGAAGACCTCTCTAAACACTACAAATATGTTTTAGGACAGTACCAGATGTTTTATACTGAAAATGAAGTCATATTTTGATGAGAGGGCAAGAGGCACATACATTGTATTGTATACACACTCTTTGAGCATACAATCTATATGTTTGAACATACATTTTTCTTACTTGAGATACTACAAAACAATTTCACAAAGGACTTTGTAGGACCAGACAGTATTAGTACTACAGGAAACAGGACACATGATAAGTACACAAGGAAAGAATACATTAGTACAAGGACAAGTACACAGAAAGACAGGAAGTCAATACTAGAATGTATTAATCTACACATGGATTTGCTAAATGAACAAGGAATTGGTAGTGTACACTCAGGACTTCAGACAGTACTACTACACATACAGTCAGGATATTTTATTAAGACATACATAGAACAACACAGTATACAGACAGTTACAGTACTCAGGAAAGTAGAGAATACTACTTAGACACATTGTAATAGAACATTACACTATGAGACAGTAAAAGTATACTCAGATGATTCAGGAATTGAATTAATCAACTTACAAAGACACAAACAAGTTAAGACACAAGGAAACAGTATGAGAATACAGTAGGACATTCATTACACACAGAGATACTATGTATATACACACATATCTAGTAATATTAGGCTTATACATTACAATCTCATTGAAATCAAAACAATATTTTCATTCAAGGACAGATATTACACTCTAGGTTACACTCTACAATTAGTATTTGAACATTAAGCTTAACAGAATATCTAGTTTTGTATCTATTAGATTGCACTCTGGATTAGGAAATCCCCAATTGCCTTATGTAGAATTACTGTACTTAGAATGTCTCAGATTATCAGACTTCACTATGTAGTATATAAGGTAGATACTTGCTTGATGTCTCAATAAGAGAGAGTACTTGGAGTACTCCCACTATGCTTGTTAAAAGGTTATGAGCCTTAGTGCCTATTGAATGCCTCTATACACTTACTCTTGCAGAATGCCTTTGCCTCCTACCAGACCACCAAGCCCAAGACCTCCCTCTCCCCCCAAACTCATTATGATGTTGTCTATAACACATACCTTTGTTAACACTATGATAAAGGACTCTGACGTTACAAAGTTCTTTGAGGGAACAGAAAAGTTGGCTGGTACAAAGGGATACAAGATATGGTGCTTACACATACACAGTGCACTCACTGCCATAATGCTCTTAGACCATCTAGAGCACAATCCCCCTTCCTCTAATGATGCTAGCATACATACAGGCAATGTTTTGTATCATTGTATAATGAAAACAATAACTGATACAATTTATGCAAACTTCACAACACATACAAGTGTTAAAAGTCTCATGAAGGCACTTTCTGAACAATACAATGTTTAAACAACAATGACACATGCTGTAGACATATCTATGTTGTTTACAGTAAAAGGGTATGTATCACAGTTTGATAAGACGTTAGACAACATTGAACAAATCTACAGACAGTTGTCTACACATAATAAAGCCCCTAATAATGATACATACATCTCAGCAATTAACCTTGCTACTCCTTGTGAGTATAGTTGGGTAGCAACAATGCTAGACAGGCAGATTACCCATTATAATCAACTACTAACAGTTACAGTGGCTCAGAAAGATGTTCTGACACCAGCTAAGTTGATACACAAATTACAAAACACATATACTAAGTATCATTCTTAGTACTCTCAAACAAAACAAGATACTGAATGAGACAGCCTACAAACAAAAGGCAAAAGTGTAGCTAAAGGCAAAACGAAGCCTTACAATAAAGTTAAATGCTACAACTGTAATAAGTACAAGCATATGTTAAAAGACTGCCAAAATCCTCTAAATTTCACCAATCTTTGTATGAGTAGGAGAATAAATAATATATTCATTGTTTGTTTTCATTAAAACATATCCTGCTTTGTATAATAGTGCTTTACTAACAAGTGTGAAGTTCAGATTGGGATGATAGTATACGTTTTGTAGTGAAATCGTATTCACCTTTGTATGCTCATTGGCTTTGTCTTGTAGTTTTACATTAAATGTCATTACTCTACTTTTGCTAAGTGTGAATGACAATTTATTTACAATCATAACATTTATTAGGGTCAAGTTCTGAATGTTTGTAAGACAGAACAAGTATGGAGTAGTGTGTACATTTGCACCAGAGTCCAATATATTAATACAATGTATTAGTTCAGTATCATTACAATGTATTGTATTGATACATACATTTGGATTGTAATTGAACTCCTTAATGACTTCTTTCACATTGTTAAATGAGTTCATGAAGTTGTCTACTTGCATGACACCTTCCTCTTGTACTTCAAATGCTGAAAATACATTAGATTCAGTAGATAGAGCAGATTGAACAGGTAAGCTGCTGGAACTTGATACTGAGGCTTCTACAATTGTAGACTCTAGCATTAGTGTTTCATTAACGTCTTCAATGAATACTACTGTATTAAGTGTAGGTTGAGACAGTATAGTAGTAGTAGTAGAAGCAGAAGCTGTTTGCCTATACTTTTTCTTTCAAGCTTCCATTGTTTTACTTGACATGTACAAAATAACTTGTATATGATAGTTTCTCATTATAATAAATGATCTATTAATGCAATCACTATTGTTGATTTACATCAACAAATAGGTCATGTTAATTTTGATTACTTGCACAAACTCATACAAGAGTATTCTGAGATTATAAGTCAAAGGATAACAGACAATAAAAATGCACAGTGTACAGATTGTATCAAAGCAAACATACAACACAATGAAATACCAAAAATACGAACAACACCTCTTGCACAATCCTATAAAGATTATCTCCATATTAATATATGGGGACCTGCCTCAGTACAAGCTTACAGTAAGTACAAATATCTTTTTACCATTGTAGATAACACTACATGATAGGTAACTATACTACCTATGTAGCATAAAAGCAATGCTTTCACTGAATATGTAAAGCATACAATGAAACTCTTTACACAGTACAGTATAAGAGTTAAAAACTCTCTAAAGTAATAACAATACAGTGTTCCTAAGTAAAGACTTTACTACATACATTGAAAGTCAAGGAACAATATGAAGATTAACAGTACATGATACACTACAGTAGAACAGAGTTGTGGAACATATACATAAGACTATCTTTAACAGTGTATGTATGTGTCTGTTATCAGCAAAATTACTTATGAAATTCTGGGTATATACAGTACAATATCAAACGTTTATTCATAACAGAACACTAAGAGTTACTATTAATTTTGTAATGCTATATTACAAACAGTATAACAAACATTATCAAATAGATAATATATGAGAATTCAGCACATATTGTATTATACAGAACGAACGAACGTATAAACTACAACCTAGAGGCCAACACATACAATGGCTAGGTTATGATAACAACAGTAAAGGTCACTTAGTGTGCCATGATAATAAAATTACTGTTGAGTGTAATGTACAATTCATAGACAAACTAATGTCTAGGATTGAAGGGGAGAATAATTATAACAATGATACATCAAATGATGATGAAACTCTTCCTAATAACAATAATAAAGATAAAGAACCTGTCATACAATGCTCTACACAAGAGCAAAGACCGGTTAAACAAACTATAGGTTTAAATTACAAAGACAATATAAACCTAGCTATGTATCTAACAGAATTTAACAAATTCCTCAACAAAGTCTATAACAATCCATTAATGTATTACAATACTATAACATGTATAGACAAAGAACAATGGATTAAAGCTATAAAGGATGAAATACAGTCACTTCAACAACAAAACACATGGATATATGCTATCCCCCCTACAAATACAAATGTAATTAGAACAAAATTTGTCTATAAAATCAAAAGACTGGCTAACAGCTGAATAGACAAATATAAAGCACAATTTGTAGTGTAAGGATACACTCAAAAGAATGGAATAGACTTCTATTCTAACAACTTATTTGCTCCAGTAATAAAACTATCAACAGTACAATTATTGTTATCTTGGGCAGTATCTAAGAACTATGAAATACATTAGATAGATGTAAAATCTGCATATCTTTACAGAGAATTAAATGAGGACAAACTCATCTATGTGAAACTACTGCCAGACAGGCTACTTACAGATATTAAACCTGGACAGGTGTTATACTTAAATAAAGTGTTATATGGATTGAAACAAGCAGGTAGACAATGGTACAAGAAGATTACTGAACTACTACTTAAGATTGGATTAGA